AGTTTGTGGTAAATAAAAAAGTTGACAACAAACTTATTTTTTCTCTTCAAATATTAATTTAGCTCTGAACTGAGTTTGATATCTACTAGAGCATTTAGAATCTCTATAGACATTTGGAGTTTTATAAGTGTTGTAAAGAAAACTGTTATATCACAGACAATAGAGTGAGATCCAGGAAGGAGAGGCTCAGTGTTTAGAGTCTGCGTGTAATAATAATACATAGTCACCAGCTGAATTCCGCTCCGGAACAATCCAGTTCCCCATTTCTTCGTTGTCAGCAACAAACTGCTATAAAACTAGTCTGGGAAAAACTGTGTCTGCCCCAGCAAGGGGCGGCCTCTTCCCATGACGAAGACATAGGGACGCTCTATTAGATGCTTCCTAGGTTTGCAGATAGAGTCAGTTCGATCAGCTTCTAAAGAAATTGATGAGAAAAAGCCCTAAAGTTCCAGACAAACAAAGAAGAAGCTAAATGAGTAAAAAATGAATAAACAAGTGAACAATGAAGTGATTTCGAAGAAAACACCCATTCGTCCTCGTTGATATGGAATTTGCAGATCTGGTTTTTTGAGCTCATGTGCGTTTGGTATAGGTTTTCGTTGTCGTTACATGGGAAAGTTAAAATTCGCCAAAGCACTTCCTAGGTACACATAGGGCGATGGCTTCGAAGTGACAATGCGGATTCCAGCTCAGAAATCAGAAACATCTACGTGCAAGAGTCATGGACCGTTTTGGATAAATCTCAAAAATCCAGAGATGAAGCGGAAAGACGAATGCCTCACTATGACACGTGACCTGGCGCCTTATTTCAAAATAATATTTTGAACTCTCGGTGGCTCCTGCGCTCGCCGCCCCGAGTGAACAACGCGGGAGCAGACCCACTCCTAACGGTACGGTGAGTGGTTTTTTGATCAATATGGCGTTTATTTTTATGTTAGATCTCCTTTGATTTTTTTTCCACCGATTAATTAAACTATCCTTGTGTAAACTACGTATAGGCTTTGAGGAAGGCGAACTCACTAAAACTAGGAAGTGCACTGCAGTTGAATTCGTTGGGTTTTTAACGTAAAACATCGCAACCAACAAAAATTAAGGATGAGCAGTGAAAAATAAAAGCACGCTGATCTTTCATGGCACACAATAAGGGCCGACTAAATAGAATTTTGCTGAAGGAAGATGCTGTGTTACGTTGAAGCTCCCGAAGTGTGGGCGAAATTTCGGTGAAGGTCTAATCACTTAAGAGTTATTGATTGATAACGTCTCCGTTCTCGGAATTAGAAATCAAGCTTCTTTTGGTCAATTCAAAAGTTCGCGGGCAAACGGTCTGTTTTAGCCGTTTAGTATACGTGCAATTCGGTTCGCGGGCAAACGGTCTCTTTTAGCCGTTTAGTATACGTGCAATTCGTTTATCCCAAAAAGAAAAATGTGACTAAATCTCCTAGGTAAAAGTTTTGGTCATTTCAATACTAAATCGAAGTATTTAGTAGGTTTGCAAAGACAGGAAGCATTTCTCGATCGCACGAATACGTAATAATTCAAGCTAATGTCTTATTTCTCGAATATTCATTCCTCTTCATGAGAAGTACAAAGTCGAGAGGTTATTTTAAAAAGCTACTCATCAGCCTTTTTCCTCATTAGTTTCTAGAGATCTATCTGCTCATCACCAACTTTAGAAAATAGAACCACAATGGTGCTGAGACATTTGCAAAACTCCTGACCGCAGGTGTCCGCGGTGGGTAACGAACGCGCTATTGCCCTTTCCGGGGGCTAAGGCGTTCACCACCACACCATGCGGCTCGTTTTTCTTCTTTCGCATCGATCAACGTCTATATCCTGGCACCAATGTGGTTGTATTTCGCATAATACCCTGCCATGAAAAAATTGTAGAAAACTCCAAAGAAAAGGTTAACTTGAGGAAAATTCACAGAGGAGAAAGGTTGCTTGCGAAAGAACCTGCGAAATAGAAAGCGAAGTCAAAAATGAATTGTCTTTTGTTTGATCAGCACCAATTTCCCTTTTGTTTAGAATCTAGTGAATATAGTAATGAACAAAGTGTGCTTAATTCTTACTGACTACTGTATGTGAGGCATTACTGCATTTTCAAGAATCCAGTTCAAAAATGCCAAGATCAATCTGTTATTTCCAGTTTGCCTTACTGTATAGCGTTCAGCAGGTTATTATTATTACTTATAATACTTAAAAAGAGTGAGTGGAGTGCAGTAGTTAGAGGTGCTGCGTAAAACAAAGGGGCTTTTGGTTCGATCCCTAGTACCACGTGGGCACTCCAGCTCTCTATTCTCATAGAGTCAGCAGATTGTTATCAGTGCTGTCGCATATCAGAAGAGCAATATGGAATTGATAAATGTGTTTCTTCCAGAGAATTTTTGTCCAGACTATGTGTGCATTCAATCACCTTTGCGATGCTAATGGAGCCACATACATGGCGCATCTTCTAAGATCGATAAACGCGGAAAGCTTTTGGCTGTATTAATCGGATTTATATACATGCATTCCAACGGTCTACCGCTTCATCGTGGCTGAGAAGTGTTACTGGGTGTTGGATAGCGATTACAGGAGGAAACGTATTCCTCCAGTAGGACCTCCTAAGCTAAGAGGTACGACATTTCCATCTGGAAGTCCAGCTAAGAGTAAACTAATAGTAGGATTCATGAAGGCATGGTATGAAACTAGCCGCATGGTGGCGAAATTTCCTCTGATCCACAAGACAGGTAGCTGCCTGGGGTGGTGGCGACATGAAAAAGCGCCGGCTAGGTTGATCTCAGGACTCTAGAGGGCAACAAAGGTAAATTATGCTGATGCCCGTACAACCAATGAAGACGGACCATCTAAGTAAGGATTTATACACATGAGTCCCAGTCTTCACGAATAGTGAATGTTTATTACATCGTTTGTTCCATTGTTGCTTCTCGTCATTCACAGCTGTGATTTGCTTTTAAAATGGTGACATCAGCTAGTACTGTCCTATAATTTTGAAATCATTTTCATCTGATTTGCCTCAAAGAACAGCGCTGAGAGAACCACAGAGTCTAGGAGATATATGCACCAAAATCCTGCTCCTTAGGTTGGTGGCTTACCAGAGAATATTAATCAAAGCACCACCCATTTCGATTTGCTCACCATCCCAACATAGGTGTTCCACGAGAAGAGGGATAGAAAACCCGTAACCATTGCTACTATGGGTAGCATTTGGCTCATTTATAGACTTCATATTTTAACATGAAACTTGTGCAGATTAGGAAAGCAATTTCATCCAAAAATCTGGAAATACGACGGGTACCTTGTAAACCGTTTTCTATCCTTTTCACCATACCCGTGCTACATGGTCGTTCTCGCTGGTTATTCCCGCCAAGGATGTTCATGAGCCACACTATTGGAGGCAATATTCTACTTATTCTTCATTCTTGCCCATCGAACTTATCAAACATTCATAATCCAATGTAATAACATCCAAAAACCACGATAGTGGCAAGGCTTCCCTTACTCTTAGCACTGACCCTTCTGACGCTTCAGATTTCCTCAGAAAGAAAAACACCTGAGCTTCAGTTCATCCTCATGCAATGGTGACCTGTTCTAGAAAAAACTTCCTGTTTTCATTCGGCCAAAGAAACAGTAAACTGAAAGTGAACTAAACCAAGGCCAGAAGGTTCTATCTTTTTCGTTTAAACCAGTTGTGTGAGAACCCTTATAAAACTGAAGAACTAACGATGGAAGAAAAAAAATGTATACTCTCTTCAGAAGATGAGAGAAGGCTATTTGAATAGTAGCTGCGCACTATCCAAATCCGATGAAAGTAAATACGATTGGAAGGAAAAATAGTAGCACAGCATCTACTGAAAGGATGGCGCTAGTCTATACTCGATATCGTTGGGTACTTTAGAAATTAAGACCCTAAGTACTTTTTATCTTCAGGAAGAGGACATCAGATCCCAAAACACAAAATAAGCATTTTATAAGTTTTATTCATTCAGGTATTTTTCATATATGGTTGAGCAATATACATATTAAAATTGGCAAATCTCTTCAACTCGCTTGAAATGTCAGTCAATAGAGCTTAACAACATGAATTTTAGCTTGTAACTAGTGTTACATGTATATGTTCTAAATAAATAATCTTTTATGCCGTAAGTAGAACAATCTGAAAACGAAAGCTGAATGTAGGGAAGCTTTCAGAGCTGACGATAGAAACAAATAAGAACGCCTATTGATAAACTACCGTTGTGTTCTAGCGAACAATCGATACTCCAGGCGCACTGCTTAATGCCACGTACGTCGCCGAAAACTCTGAAAACTACCCATGGGAAACGCTGGAGCAGAAGAACATTATCTATCAGAATTCGACGAATCCTGAGATACCGTACCCGTGTCATATCTACCGTAGCTAGCATGGAAATGTTGAGAATAGCATGTCATTGTCAGAGTACACCCACGTAAAACGTGAACAATTTTTAATACAACAGAGAAAAAAGCGAGATTATACACGGTCGAGTCAGTCCAATGGTAAGAGCGAACTTTTCTAAAACTTATGTCTACTTTTTTCATCTCGGATGTTTTGCTAAATTTACAAAATGAATATAAGGATAAAAAGAAGCGAAACTTTCAAATCTTTGAGTAGGAGCTCTTAGAAACACAGTGATCAAATCCTGATAGCTTCATACCACGGGATATGAGATTTAGACTTGTCCAGATAAAGGTGACAGCTTCCGAAGGATAAAAGGTGACAGCTTCCGAGCTAGCAGCTTTAATCGCATAACGCGTGTCTGAATTTCTATTAAGCATCTCCATCATAGGCCTAACAAGCCAATTCTGATTCGCCAACAAAAATATCGGCTTCGTTTCACTATGGTTGGAGTACTCTCTGGAGACGAAAACTGCTATGGTAAGTTAGTGCCATAGAGAACAACTGTGCAAGAAGTGGATATCGCATTGGAAGTGATTACAGCAACAGTTGGCTCTATGAAAACTTCTTTTTGTGTAGCGCATTAAATGACGATTGACTCAGAGCTGCTTGCAGCTTCATGCCGGGCTCCTATTCCTTCGAAAAGCGGTGCTAGAGGTGGTCGCTTCTGCGGCGGTCGAAGGCTTGGACAACCTTGTCCGTCAGTGTCAAAGAAGTGTCGGAACGTGAATTCATAGAATGCCGGATTGTTCGGCACCCGTTTACCCAGCGTTTCGAATGGCGACTCGCTTATCTGAAAAGAGTGGCACATGACGCAAAAACTGACTATCACATTTTCGAGAAAAATAAAAGAAGGTCACATCCTCTAATTTTACACTCGTTACGCCTATAGACAGGCGAAAACCAGAATGTCATCAGAAAAGGATGATCCGGAAAACTCATTCATCAATAATCAACCTCCCTTATTCCCGAAACTCTCATTTCACTGCTTTCAATAATCAAAGAAGTGGATGAGAACAGGAATAACGAGATTAAAAAGCGTGAATAACGATAATTAGAAAAACCATTCGAATGTTAACAGACCTCAATTGCCTCAAAATTGGACGTATCCTCGGCGTGTTCAACTCTAGGAATGAACTCAGCTCGTGTGGATCGCAGATTTTTAAAGTCAATCCCCTGCAAAAAAGAAATATAAATCGAAGTTTCGAAAACCTCCATTGCATGAAATTCTGTTTCCCACAGCAGTCGACATGCCATATAATGGTTAAATTAGAGCATATTCGAAAATGGCGGAAGGCACCAATTCAGACCTACACGGCTGCAGCTGTTGACAGATATAAAACCGAACTAATCAGGTCATCTATCACGCCAGTGATGGCTAATCTAGGAGGGTCCGCGAAGAATGTAACAAACTTTGCTCTCAAATGACAGATATGGATCACTCAGCCCAAAGACTACACATTCATTTAATGCGACGAGGAATTCCATTACGATATATTGTTGCGGATTTTGTCTTCCATACTTTATGACTCACGTCACTCACAAAGATGTGGAGAACAATTAAATTTATACTCATGTGTGTAAATATATCTAGAGAAAATTTTGCATATACATACATATGTAATATATATATATATATAGAATATACATACATATGTAATATATATATATATATAGAATATACATACATATGTAATATATATATATATATATATATATATATATAGAAAGAGATCCAGTGAAAAAGAACTTGTCAAACTTCAACTGTTATATTTCGCATGAAAAAAATAGAAGAAGACACTAACCCGAAACCATGGATGGTCCATCACTTCACGAGCTCCATTCGATCCAATTCGACTACTCCGATCACAACAAAGGCGTTGAATGAACAAAATGCAATCGCATGACAGATGTCCACCCCCTGCACGAGGCGAGACGTCCAAGAATCGTGACCAGTTGATGATCTGAATGAATTTCATGGTTCACACACACGACTGAAATTGACATCAAATTTCGTACTCAACATGTTTTTGAAAAATAGAGATTATACGTTCCAAGTGCGTAAAAACTGCATTTGAATACGGGAAATATTACAAAGACACTAATTTGAAACATTCAACGAGACTGAGATTCTGGTTACCATAAGACGATAACTCGTCCAGCATTAGAATACTACTTTTTGTGCTTCATAAAGTTGAGAGAAGACCAGGTAACCGATTTATCACCATCCAGATCATAATTTCACCACTGTTCATCATTACAAGCAATTTTCAGAACTTCCTGGAACCGACTGATGACTAATCAGAAATTTCGTATGAAGAAACCACGAACGATAACGAAAGTATAGACAGTTTTGTACCAAATTTAATAGTACGTGACGCCTCCGAAAACAACCATATAACCGTCTGCCACTACGCCAACGGCACTAAATTACACGAAAGTTGGCGTTTTTCTCATTTATATCATACTCTTTTATAAAGTAATATATATACATATTTATATATATAACGTTTACAACGGTTTACCGTTTTATTGCATCCGGGTCGCATTCAGTGGTGTAAAGCAAGGGTTCATCCCTTATTCAGGGTCATACAATCTGAGATAGAACCCAAAACCTCTATAATATACATTGGCCGAACTAACAGTGAACCAATACCGGGAATTACTTCATGGTAACAAGACAAAGTCGCGACGTGACAAATCTCCCTTCGACTCGAAGACTTCCAGTGGTGCCGACATTGAGAAATTCTATTACACCTCAGCACTCCAAGGTAAGAAGAACTTGCCTAACCAGCAAACATCCAGCTAGGTAGAGGATGTGGTGAAAGCCACACGATTCTTCGTGATGATGAGCCATTCAACTATCCAATGAGGTCCAAGTCATCGTTCTTTGTGAACAGTCTTTGACGAACAAACAGCATTGTCAACGTGTTTTTCGGTTCACAATCGGCGAATTCGTCTTTTTCATAGCTGCTTTTCCATTATTAGGGTTTTTAGGGAGCGAAACAACCCGTACGTTGTTCATATATAGGGTTATAAAGATCGGAATAACCGTCAACTCTTTAGGGGCGAAACAGAAACAACATATGTCGCCTATTAATGACGAAATTAACCGAAAGTAATTTTCGAAATTGTTACAAAATGTATGGTTCACAAGCACCTTATACTGTGTCTCTGCTGGATCATCATTCATGGACATGAACGGCGGCCGTCCGAAGACCATCTCGTACAGTATAACACCTACTGACCACCAATCACAAAGCTGTGTGTGACCTAAAAAAATGCTGTTCACGTTCCAATTATTGAATTTTTCCTCATTATTCAACTTCACGCTCTCCTTTTGGATATATTAGAAAAAATAAATGAAGACTTTATTTCATTTAATTTATTTCATTAATTTCACGTTCCTATACTTTCGCTGCTTCACCGATGGGAAGCCATCAGCTTCGCTGCTACAAAAAAGCTACTTTGCACAAGGAGCCTCATTTTCAACTTGATAACTCAATCCATTTATTTCCACAAAAATAAAAGGATAAAAGGATAACGGTCTCGGCGTTTATCAATCCTTGAGGGATGCGCCATGCATTCGACTTCATTAAGTATCGTTGCAGGTGACTGAATGCATATCTGGCTTATATAATGACTCGCGGAGATCTGCCGACGTATCGATCAAGTGCTGCTATCCTCCCAGACAAGTCTGGTACCAATTTGCCGACCCCAGAAGGTTGGAAAGCTTGGTGGGCCATGGGCACCGAGATCGATTCCACGTGTCGCAACGGCGCCTCCAACTACTATAGTCAACTTTAATTGCATCACAATCATTTTTCACATTAAAATTCAAGCTGAGCAGAAGAATGTGTTAACTCACGTGTCTACGGTAGAAAAATATATGCACAAAATTACATATAAAAATAAAAAAAGGGTAATAAAGAAGGTAAATATACAGTGCCAAAGGACACTGTGCTAATTTAGGATAATTATTGAAAGTAGAATGCCTGAATCAATTGAAAGGAAAAATGCTGCCGAATAGAGTTTCATTCCGCTGGAACTTACCGATCTTCAAAATTACTTCCGGCGCCATGTAGTTTCCTGTTCCAACGACTGAATGCGCCTGGTCACGTTTCTTTTGATGACGAATATTGAGCACCTTAAAGTACAACGAATTACATATCTGTTGGAGATTTTCAGGGTTACAAATCGCATAGATTACAGTGAAACAATGGAGCAATCCCAGCCATTTATTTGGTAGCAAAACTTGTAGTTAATGAAAACCCTGTTCATTTTCTGAAGGACACATTACTGGAGACCGTTCAACAACGTATTAAAGTCAATTTTAAATCATGGATAAAACTATATAAGTCATGACCACCCTCCACTCTAGTACCACTAAATTCTCAATAAAAAGAATTCTAAGCATCTGTTCATTAACCACACGTAATACCTTCATGTTTTGCTCAAGCGCAGCAACATCAGGTGGCAGCGAAAATGAATCAACTCGAACGTGCGATGGCTCCGAGTCGTTTTCGGGACCGTAATACCTTGAATGGGCAAAGATATTTCGCAGAAACAGCAAAACGTCCGATTTTTAGCTTTGTGAGTTAACGAACAATCCGGAAAGCTCGCCATACTATCTACATCCAAGAATTATACAAGATCGGAGAAAGTGTGCGACACATTGCATTTTAGTGAACGTTAAATGTTCACAGGTCAGGTTTAATTCAGTGTTAACGACCATAATTTATACTTAAAAATGATCTACCTTCAGAGAAAACTTTGAGGTCAAACAATTTTTTTTTAAAAATAAAACCAGGAGATGTAAATCGACAAAAAAACCAATGTAATCGACACACTTTCACCTACGAGCTACTAGCGTGAACGTTCTATATACATGAAAACTTTGTTTTCAAGATCGAACAAAGTCATCGAAGACTCTTTTGAGCATTTCTTAACTCATGAGTGATATCTCGTTGCAGCAGTTAGCCGAATATTTGAAGATGGTAGTGATCTGATGATATAGTGTTTGGATATCTAAGCGGGTGAGGCAGGCTCTCATCCTCCAACTTATTCAGCTCCTGAAAAAACGGCTGGGAACCCACACGATGTTGTGCAGCAGACTAGGTTGATCCTTGTGCTTTCGGTTCATTACTAAGTTTATTTCTCGACGCATAGCTTCGATTTCAATGCAACACTATTGTAGTGTCGAGTTTCGAAACATTTTGAAGGTCCGCGGTGGGGAACGAACGCGCTATTGTCCTTTCCGGGGAGTAACGCGTTCACCACCACACCATGTGTGTCCTTCGTTTCGCCTGTCTCTCAGCTAGTTCTATCCATCTTTTCTTTTGCCATCAGTAATCACCCATCAACGGGAACCTGCGGTCCGGAGTTTTGCAAATATCAGTAGTTATATTTCGCAACATACCCTGCCGTTAAAAAGAATAGGCAGTCAATAAAAAGGTTAATATTGTAATTATAACTATAACCTCAGCTTAACTGGGTTCAACGCCGATTTGGGCTCCCCAGATCAATCCCGTTGACGGGTGATTGCTGATGGCAAAAGATCGATAGAACTAGCTGAGAGAAAGGCGAAACGAAGGACCCGCGTGATGTGATGGTGAACGTGTTACTCCCCGCAAAGGACAACAGCGCATTCGTTCCCCACCGCAGACATCTGCGGTCCGGAGTTTTGCAAATATCTCAGCATTATAGTAGTTATATTTCGCAAAATACCCAGCCGTTAAAGAATAGGCAGTTAATAAAAAGGTTAGGATTTTGAAAGTCGCCGTGGATGTCGCCGACTATCGACCACTAATAGAGACCATCGCCAACTATGCCGTAAGCTTGCCTTAGTCTTCATCGTGGCCTGCCGTCGGAATGCAACTGTTAGGCTCAGGATCACCGATCGTTGTTCAACATCTATTTTTCATCAGAAATAATAACTGGATTCAAACAATCGGATTCTGGTAACCCCAAGAAACAATGAGTTTTAGCTTCCTCAGTGTCATGGTCTCTGGCAGTTTTAAGATCGTGTGAACTACACTTATCAAACTTTATCGTTTTCTAAGCAACTTGAGATGGAGTGATATCGTTCCAATACCTTGACCAAACTTTTCTCAAAACCGTTCTAGTGAATATTCTAAACTTCTTTTACGTGGAAAACATTTCGTCGTGGTTCCTTTCAACCAAGGCATTAAATAGGTCGACATCAATAGGACATTCCATTAACCATGCTTATTCGACAAAGTGGCTCGCACTACAGCGCAGAAGTAGTGACGTTTAACAGGCGCAAGGCCTGGCTTGGCACCGCAAGAAAACAAACAAATCCCTTATCCCTCTGGGGTCAGGGAATTTGCATCAGATATATCTCAGAAGATCCTCTCAAATCACTGAATACTGCAAACAGCGTTGACCTGGGAACGCCGTAACACGGCGATTTTAGAATTTTAAAAGGAATCCACACCACAAGCATTCAAGAACATTCGTATAGAAAACTAAAATCTTCAAAGAGTCGAACCCACAACCAAATCCAAAGACTTGCGTTGACGATAGATACGACGAAACGGATTGCTTTCACAAACTATTAGAAATTTGAATTAAATAAGAATGAGAAAAAGACACAATAGGAGAATCGGAGATTATAAAATTGGACGGATTTTGAAACATAATAGCAGAAGAGCTCGGTGAGGACTGGATGAGAGTAGCGATGAGGAACAAACAGTATGCTCTGGATGAAGCCTTGTTGATTCATAGATCCCACTCAGGTATTGTACGTACCTTCTATCGTGCGTCCAGCGCAATCCGGTACAAAGTCCGAAGTCAGTTAGTTTTATATGGCCTTGTTGATCAATTAAAATGTTGTCTGGCTTGATATCACGATGGATGAATCCTAATGAATGCACATAATCGATGGCGCACGTAAGTTCAGCAATGTAGAAACTGGAAAATACCATAAATTTCAAAACATCCAACTTATGGACACAACGAACTTCAAAATCTCGAACTTGGAGAAACATTGATGTAATGCTTATCTTTATCAAAGATATACAGGATAAAGAAATAGGAAGAAATATGAATGAGATGAAAAGATAGTGATGATGAAAATAACAACGGAACATGAAGTATGAGAGCTTTTCCAGTACATAAGCCCGAAACCCTCCATACCACAGAAGATACGAAACTTCGTCATCGAACCAACTTCCAACTTTCCGCCCTCTTACAAAAATGGGAATATGAATTTTAGATGAGAAAATCTCCGTAACAGAGTACTCAAAAGTTTGAAGGAAAAAAATAGTGGAGTCTTAACACCAGTTTTTATAATAGGTTAAGCATAAAATTAGTGGTAGAGTTGTGGAATTCCAGAAAAGAAAGTTTATACACAAATATTACCAACCGTGCCAGCTTTTCTTCAAACACTCCCTTGTTGATGAGTAACTGCATCATATCGCCTCCTGGTACATATTCCATGACAAAATAGAGACATCGATCATCTTGAAACGAAAAGAACAGTTTCACAATCCACGGAGAGTCGGCTTCGGCAAGTATGTCGCGTTCTGCTTTGACATGCGCTGCCTTAATCGAGTTGAAAGATGATAATCTCCAGTAAGAAGTACTGTGGGTCTAGTATAATAAAGTCCTATTTGAAATCATTGGCAACAAGTGAATATGCGTAGAAATTTAACACAGCTGGTAAAGAAGTTCCGAAATACAACTTTCAAAATTAGGTTGGCCAGGATGCCCTCGAGACCTCAAGAAACTATGGAGAGTAAACTAGCAAATCTCCGGAGAATGGAAATTGTGCTCGAGCACACACAACCAGTGAAGATGGGCCATCCAAGTATCCAAGTAAGTAATTTTCAAAGTAGTATGTAAACAAAACAGCTTGTGTTTATGGTACGGTGATCGAAAAACAAGTGGAGCTCTCCTGGCATATCGTTCATTTTCTGCACTGCTGCTATAGTTTCTCCAGTTGTACCGTGCTTGTAATTCCCTACCGTATCCTCTTCATTCGTCCTGATTACCGTAAAATCAGCTGTCAAACGCGTATACGTCTTACGCCTTGTTGTTTACTCTACAAAATAGGAAAAGAATATAATGAGAACATGATGAAACATGTTTTCTACAATCTCGTCTGCGAGTGTATACGATAATGATGAAGACTAGATAGAAACAAAAAACTAAAAACGACGAATAAAACACACTGGATTTTATAACTACTTAATGGGATGAATAGCACAGTAGCAATGCCGATCATCACGGGCACGGAGTCGGTTCGACCACCGCCTCCCGCCCCCCAAACACAGCTTACCAGGCCTCTCATCTCTCCACGGTAGGCAAATTACCACCTAACTTGCCCGGCAAAACAATCACTTTCTGCAACCCATTTGCGAGTGCTTCAACCCTGCTATCTCAGCACTCCGGGGAGAATCGATTCCACCAGCATTCTACGACATTCAAGATTAAATGAAAATCCTCAAGCAGCAACCGAAGCCACACGTAGAAGTTGGAAGATCTTAGTGGATGATGGAAGCGAATAAACGAATCGAATGTGAGAACCACAGCAATCCGTACAGTAGACGTGAAGACGGGTCGTATTAAATAAAATAAAAATCCTCTAGTTAACATTACCACCACTAAAACGAACGGCTAACATGAGTAAAGCTTTTTTTAAAACACTGACTAAAAAGCTTAAGAGGTCGGATTCATGCCACTGAAAATAAATCGAACAAAATCTACCTCATATTTTTCTCATTTAAAAATCAGGTAAAGCAAGCTCCGACATATTCTACCATAACGGCTAACCAAATTCTCCACGGTACGATACCATACCTGTTGCTTCATAATAACATCTTGCTTCAGCAAGCTTTTCATAGCATAAACTTGACCGGAATCCTTCTAAAAGAAAAAACTTGATAAAAAAAATTTCAATAACTACGAAAATCCCTTTCAACAACAACAGATGAACAACAACAGGAATAGATTAAAAATGTAGTAGTCACGAGAACTGCAAAAACAATAGCAATGAGTACTTTACTTCAGAGATTACCTTTTTTACGAGGGAAACTCGTCCAAAAGCACCGACACCAATATGCTGTAGAACCTCAAACATGTCCTTGTTCATCTTCTGTCGTCGAAGTCGCATATACCTTTAAATATGTCCTAAATATTGGTAACAACAATTATTGCAGGTATATGTTTACTGAAGGCATTTAAAATTACTGCTAAAAGTGATTTAAGAAACTCCAGTGCTGTCTTAACAAATCTCCAAGAATCTTCAACTACTGGGCACTTCTTTATAACATGTCCTATCTTCATCAGTTACATTCATAAATCCATAACAACTAACCACTGAGGCCGATCAATGGAACAACAACTCTTCGACCTACAACGGTCGGCGACTACGTATGGCAAATACCTGGAAACTCTCCAGCAAGTCCATTTCGGGCGGAAATCAGAAAAAACCACGTTCAACCAGCAATGGACATTTTGGCGAGGTTAAACGACGGGAAGTAACTTCAGTCGAATCTCTATACAAATCGCACTACTCACCTCTGTGTATGGCGGTTATAAGACAACGAATCGAAAGAATCGTGAAGCATCTCTCACCGCAGATTTCATGGGAGAAGTGTGAAGACCAGAATGAGATTTAAAGACGAGTTATTTAAATATTAGTACACCTAACTAGATTATTTTCATGTTTTTCCTCTTCAACAGCTAAGTATATCCACTCGACTACTCATAATAGGACCACGTGATGCAAACCGACAGAAAATCTAAACCCATGGCAGGAATCCTATTCCTGCTTCAAGAACCCTAAAGAAATGTGGACAGAGGCGCATTTTACTGCAGAGCACTTACCAGTCCACCCAACATGTGCACATTTCTAGTCAGTTGGTCGAAATGCGATGGAAAGGCTGACTTGTCAGACCACTCGAACAATAACTCACTTTTTACGTCTCATTAGTCATAGCTATTTTTTAGGTTTATTAACTATACTTTTCTAGATTGCTCAACTTACACGAGGTTACTACATAAATTTTATTCGGCTAACGTTTCCAGGTGTTCGTCTTCGTCAGAGCCGACAGATACGAGTCGGTTATAGCTGCTTAAGAAATCGCTGTTCTCCTGACAAGCACAGATGAGAACATTACTATAATATTTATTCACCCATAAAAATGATGTCTCTGCGAATTAAGGCTTCTTGATAGCCTAGAAATGTCAAGTTAACTGCAAGCTTGTCAGCCAAAAGCCTCCATAACCTCAACAAAAAAAACCCGAAACGTAGTTTAATCGCATCTTCTCCACTGAGTCTTCCACGTGGAGACCAACCGCTTCCAAAATATTCGTCTCCGCACACTTTACGAAAAGTCAAACATACCGTACCTGAACTCATGCAATCACCATTTCTACCGTTTGTGAAAATTATGCAGTTTTCCATTAATCATAGATAACCATATAGGCGGTTGCGGACTAGATGGCGTCCGAGAGTGTCCCGCAGTATTTCAATCACTGTTGCCGAATTCTCTATACTAGGCGTTATTAAGCAATACTTAATAGCTGCACTAATTTGATTGCAAATGAAGAATAGTATGAACGGAACCTTATTCTCGCTAGAATTATCGTTTAGGGGTGTGGTTTCTCCTCGACATGTAACCGGAGGAGCTACAGTCTCGTAGCCAACGAAAATGGCTATTTGTTGCGCCAATTTCCGCGATTCCTCTTTCTGCTCTCTTCCTGTGGACACGATAGTGACTGCTCGACACATGCTTCTCACTAGCGCGCTTTTTGCGTGTGAAATGTGAGAGGAGAGACAATGAACTAACATGCTTTGCCAATTGGCTTTCGGCACCATTTGCTGACGTAACCGTTTTCGGAAGGGTTAATTTTAGCATACAAAAATGGAAGCCAATTTTCCTTCGATTTCTCATAGATAATAACTCAAAACATTTGGTCATCCGCTCTTGTGTGGAGCAAACGATAAAACGATCGTCCATATATCTAGAGTAGAGTAATGACTGATGGCGGGAGAGAATGTGCAGTGTTTGTGATGCCGTTGATAAAAAAGCAAAGACGATCGTTTGATCCACTCTATAACGATCTCATTTAACCAAATGGGGTGTCTTAGCTTGGTTATTTGCAAGATTGCAAGGAGAATCGACTCGACCAGCATCCTATGACATTCATATGACATAACCTCGTGTTTGTTCAAGAAGAATATAAAGAATTATTTGGTCAATGTCGAGGTTAACAGAAAGACGATCGTGGGAATTAAAACGCGCAATGTTGAGAGCATTGTGGACGACGAACACGAGGAAAACAAATCGAATGCAAGAAATGCTGGGATCCACACAGTAGATGTAGTAGCGAGTCATGTAATGCAAAGTAAAGTAAGTCAGAGTAACGTCCAGAAATTGATTACTAGAGGTTTTCTTTTAGACAGAAACGCATTGGTAAGGATTGGTGGTGGTCGCCATCCCATAGCCAACTTCTCACTTGTGCGATATACTTCCTGGATCAACTAAAAATTGCGCAGCTTAGGAACTCCTTCAAGAAAACCATGAGCTGCCGAATGGAGAACGCATGCATGTTTATATCCCTCCAGGATTCCATAAAGAGTTCGTAGATGGCTTGCATTGCAGAGTCATTTGACACATTCGTACTATGGGCGCTAACGTCAAAGGACACCATCATGTACACGCTACTGGGCGAAGAAATACGCAGACGATCTAGGAACATTTGGGCAATCATGAGATTGGCTGGCATGTGTCTCAGTAACTGGATGAGTATTAGGTTTAAAACCAAACCATGTTATTTTATCCATTAGTCCGTCCACACAACTTATGATAGGTTCAACCTTGAGCGTTGATGGACGCAAGATCATCGGTAGATACCGCCTTACGTGTTTTAATAAGCACAAGACAGGATATGCTGGTAATCCAGGTTCGGGAATAATTGATGGTTTTAAATCTGCCGCTTTTGCCACTTTGAACCATTGTTCAATTTAATGTTTTGACTTTTCAATTCCTTTTCCAATAACGCGCGACAGAGTGAGACATCTTCAAGATGTTTTTTCGTCGTCTCAACATCTTGCGAGGAATTACTGTAATCTCTCCACCTCTTCCCGAACAGGTAATGTGGCGTTTTTTAACCCTATCAGCTCTCGAGTTTCTTGCATGCCACATTTTTGTGCTTCCGTGAAGTTGCAGTGAAACCTGTTCTCGAGGTTATAATAAACGATTCTAAAAGTTTCGTTCACAGATACCCGATATTTGCAGATAAACGATAGTGGTATTGCCCCTACATCTTCCTATTCGTATCTGTTTAGCATTTCAATTTAGCTTTGTTATGGAGCCGATCTTGAAGCTTATACATATGCGATCCTACGCAAGGTTAACTTAGAATAGGGTTCAGCTAGTGAAAAACTTGAGCCCGGTTCTCATAGCGAGTGCCCCACGTCAGGGAGAGCAATGCCTCCCAACACGGTAATCCACCACTTTTGTAGTATATTACTTATCATAATGTAACTCGTTTGACCTTCATTAACAGTGTACTGAGCGCAAAGTTAAACAAAATACTTTATTAAGAGAGCACGGGACATAGAGACACAACAGGAAAGATTATGAAGTAGTAATTACCACCCTCGCACAGGAATCTAAAACTTCAACGCGTAAAACCCTCGAAGCACTGTGGATAAATTCCAAGAATCCAAAAGTGAATCCCACTGAGGAATACTTCGTTATCACAGTGATCTCACACGACATCTAAGACTGATATTTTAACGTGATAGGGGCGCATTACCAATCCATGTGAACTCTGCGCGGTTGGTTTCCAGGTGAAATATTTAGTGGAATGGTCACAGAAAGCGGTTATTGTGTGAAGAAGCTGTTTTGTTCTCAGTGCTATTGAAATCTAGCCACCGTGGTCTTTGTACTGAGGTTACGTAGATGTCCAGCTGACTAGGCTGTAGTTAATTTGAAGTTTCCAAACTTTGTAGAAAGAAATCCGCCGAAACACTAGATTTTGTGGATAAATAAATAATATAGTAACAAACTCGCGTGTGTTTACAAAGAAAATAGTGAATTATTGACCAATACCAAGGTTAACAGAAAGTCCATCTTAGGAATTACTGGAAGATTTAGTCAGTTACTTATTAGTTAGTCATTTTTTTACTTACAACTTTCTCACTTTATAAATCTACTAATTTGCAGATTGACTACAATGGCTTAACGCCTCATAGTGGATGATGGTACGTGTTGTTCTTTGATGTCGAACTGGTATGTACAACATGAGACCATTCCCAACAGGACTGACAAGAACAAGTGTTAAACATTCTCATCAGAAAGCCCAGCTAAGGGTAAACCGTGTGAGAAGTGCCGTCATGGTGTGATATTAGTTAACAGCTGATAAGCAGTGACGAAAACCTGATGCGCTTTTGGAGACTACAGAGGTAAAAAATCAGACCCAATCAACAAAATGTGAGTCAACTGGAAAATGTTCCGACTTGCCGTGAGTAGGGAAGGCAGGCCACACAAGAAATCAAAAAAGCACATCGTAGAATGCATTACCTGGACTCCTTTTGTTGCAAAAAGTCAAGCATCTTTTGTTTCATCGGCTCCGGCAGATTCGCAGCTTCCATTTCGCGTTGTAACTAAAACAAGAAAAACACAGCTAGGAGCTATTACTCTAGGTCCCTCATTTCTCTACGGTAAATTTCAAATACACCAACACCAAATTTACAGGATTGATTCAATTTAGTGTAGGAAATAATAAATCTTATAAAATGTGAAACTGCAACAGGAAAATTACTAACACAGAAAAACATCACAACGTAGGAAACCAACAAAATGTTATGAAGTCATACAAATCTCCTAAATAATTTATAACCATCTATAGACCATCTTAAAATGGTACAAATGCTACAATGTTGCTGAAATATTCGCACAACTCCGGACCGCAGATGTCTGTGGTGGGAACCGAACCTCGTTATTACGCTTTCTGGAGGCTAACGTGTTCAACATCGCACCATGCGCCGGTTTACACAAACTGAAATGAGTCCCACTCGTAACAGCACGGCTCAGAGCGAAAGCGAAATCGCCTATACGTCAGCCATCGAGCAACACCACCACCAATAGAAAGTCGGCCTTTTGAGTTGTCCCAGCACCATTGTACTTGTGTATTTCACATCATACTCTGCCATGACCACGGATCTCCCTCATATGAGGGAACTCGAGCCGGTTAGTCATGAGGCTGCGTGGGGCGTCCCTAGGTGGCTGATAAGGGGTTAATCGAGAACCAAAAGCGACCTTTGTTTCCTTCACACGCAGGTGGATCCAGGGGATGGACTCCGTTTCTGCTACGATGATTTGGCACATACTTTCTGTATCTGCTAGGCGTATTCATGCATGCATGTGTGGGTGCGTTCTTGCTTATGCGGATTGTATTCTACGAGTCAATTCGACCAAAAACCTGCAATCAAGTGATAGGGAAGTATATGGAAAGCGGTTAGGAGTTGCCTCCAACAAATAAGCTACATGTCCACTCTGGGAGACCGTGGCAAGCTATACGTGAGTACCAAAATCCTAAACACAGTTTAAAAAATGGGCCTCATCCCCCGACCCCGAAAGAAGCACCAATTTCGCATCGTTGGGTAGGACGAGTACGGAGAGGCTGCCAAAATCTCAGGGCCAATGGAAACTGTCTGGATCACGAAGAACTAAGGTACCTACAGTGCACGTACCCTTGCATCCGAGTCCTCTATAGAAGATTTGATCATGCAAGCAAGAAGGATATGTTACGACGTCATCGGTCTGGCCGAGACAAGAAGACGCCAGCCTTCAACGCCGTCTATGACACCGAAGAGCTGTTCCTCGGGACATGTGACAGAAGAGGAGTCTGCGGCGCTGGTATTCTCGTCAACACGAGTTCGTCCATAAACACCGATTCACTCGAAAAACTTACGACCGAATCGGACGTTTACGATTAAAAAGATGTGGATCAATATCGGCTTTGACAATAACTATAACGAAGAAGTCGAAGCGTTCTATATGAACATGGAAAAGTTCTGCAAAGACTATTAAAAGTCTTAAAAGTTAAAAGTTCTGCATTCTTCAAGTCATCATTGGAGATTTCAACGCAAGGATGAAGAAGAACGTCTGAAGAACGTCAGAATGGGACCCACGGATCAGAAAGGAACGAACAGCGTGAGTGGCTACCTGATTTTAACATGGCGAACAAAACAATTCATGATAACTCGCAATTCCAGAAGCCTCACCCTCAACTCCGGACGTGGGAGACTCCCAATTGAGAGTACCATAACGAAATAAACCACATCATAGTAAATAGAAAGCTTTGTCCAACCGATGTCGCTCTTGTCCCAAAATTCTACACGGGATCAGACCACCGTCTCCTTCGTGCAAGATTCTATTTCTAGCAGAAAGGAGAAAAAGCCGCTAAATTCAAAAACCGAGGTCCCAGAACCACCGCAAAGTAGGACTTACTCAATTCATTAGTCGGCTGCTGGGAAGATACGGTTCTCGATAATATCGAGAAGAACATGGCTGGCTCATTCACCATTTTCATGTTAGCGCTAAAAGAGCCGAGAGCTCGAAACTCACCAAGAGACGTCTGCCTCCAGAAACACTTAAGCGCGAACTAACGTCGGAACTTGCAAAACAATGGAGACAGGAGATAAAAGACCTTAAAGAGAGAAGAGCAGCTGTAATGGTCGAAGCGGCTGAGGCTGGGAAGAGCGTTCACGAAGTCCACCGAAGCTTCGCCAATTGCAAGATCAAAATGATTGCACTCCGGCGCCCAGACGGAACAGTTACAGCGTCCAGAAAGGCAATGGAGAAAATCATTCACGAACACTACTCGGATCTCTTCGATAGCCATGTCCACCTTCCGCCATATGAAATAAAGGAGGATAGATATGCTGCACCACCGGTTCTCCCTTCCGAAATTCGACATGCCATTTCGTCGGTGAAAAATGGAACAGCACCGGGTCCGGACAGGATAAGATCAGAACACTTGAGGAACCTTACGCCATTCCTCGTAAACACACTGGCTCGGCTCTTCGCACGTTACCTGTCTGAATGCAAGGCCTCTACTCAGTGGAAAACCAGAAAGACCGTATTTTTGTTCAAAAAAGGTGACCTATACGATATCTGCAATTATCGTCCAATTTACTTGCTGTCCGTTTTCTACAAACTTTTCACTCGAGTCTTCTTAAACAGGACTGACATAACATTGGACGAAGGACAGCCGTGTGAGCAAGCAGGTTTCCGAAGAGGATTTAGTACGATGGTCCACATCCACACGGTAACACGGCTCATTGAAGTATCGCGAGAGTGCAAAAGACCGCTCTGTCTCGCTTTCATCGATTTACAGAAAGCCTTTGATTCAGCTGAGATGGAAGCAATCTGGGAAGCCCTTGATAGTCAAGGAGTCTCTACTCAGTACATAAAGATTCTTCGTTAACTGTACAAAAATTTCAGAACCAAAGTATCACCATTCTACAACGATATTAACATTGACGTCAAAGAAGGAAATAGGCAAACGAACGACACCATCTCGCCAAAATTATTTACCGCCAGCCTCCAGAACGTCATGCGAACATCGGAATGGGATAATATGGAAGTGAAAATCGATGGTCGGCAGTTACACCATCTTGGCTTTGCTGATGACATCGTCCTTATAACACCAAACACTAGCCTAGCGGAACGTATGCTTGACGACTTTGATAAATCCTGTCTTCGACTAAATCTCACAAAAACGATGTTCATGAGGAATGGATTGGTTTCGCATGCTCCATTCACGCTCAACGGGACGAATATCTTCGAATGCTCCAGTTATATCTGTCTAGGTCGGGCAATCAACATGTTGAGCGATTTAGCTCCAGAGTTGAGCAGAAGGAAACGAGTGGCTTGGGGTGCTTTCAAGAGCATCGAGTATGTAGCGAAGAGAACAAGGAACACCCGACTCCGCGCCCACTCAACGGTACTTCCTGCTCTAATGTATGCGTCAGCAACCTGGTCGCTGCGTAAGCAGGATGAAAGGTCAACGTTATCGAACGTGCAGTCGAAAGAACGATACTAGGAGTATCCCATTCCACAGAAGTAAGGGATGGGATCCTAAAGTCCGACCTGCGTCAACGATCGAAAATCAAAGATGCCGTTCTACACGCCAATAGTCGAAGATAAAGTGGGTCGGACATGTAATGCGCATGAATGACAACCGATGGATAAGAGCCGTTAGTGACTGGATTCCTCGGGATGTCAAACGTAGCACAGGAAGACCACCGACTGGTGGTCAGAGTTCTTCACGAAAAGCCTAGAAGAAAGATATGATGCTCGACGAGTTCCTAGAGTGAGCAGAATCCACTGGGCTACTCTTGCACGCAACAAGGAAAAATGGAAGATTTACTGGCGCCCGCTCGAGTCACTCGACGATCAACGGGACTGCAGGTGATACAGGTGATACTCCGCCACGAAGAAAGAATAGCAGTAAGTAAAAAGTGATTACATTATAAATGCTGTCCAAATTACTTGATCACTTGAATGTCCAACCGAAAAGTGATAGAACGATGATAGGTTCCGCACTGCTAAATCCCCAAGGGTGCGCTATGTGTCGGACTTTGTAGGACGACAGACGTGAATTAATGCATATTTGACATATTTTACAATTCATGGTGGCCTACCGATGTAATAAGTGTTTTTACACTCTCAGACGTTCAGGTTGGTACCAATTTGCCCACTGAGAAGGGATATAGGGTTTAATCTGCCCTAGACAAGGGATGGAACCTACGACTGAGTATTCATTGGAGCAGACTTGACCGCTGCGTTGCCCCACTCTTCTAATTGAATGGATAGTTGATCGATTCAAAGCATTTAACGAAATTGAGATCAATAGCCTTACGAGGCAAAAAAGTTCTGGTAATTCTTTTGGACTCACTAAGGTTGGAATAAACATGATCGACAACCCCTGCTTCCTTATTACCCCAACGTAACTTTCACTCTCTACTTTAAATAACTCCCAAACGTTTTTCCTATTTTAAATGCCTTAAAGACACTAGGAAATAGAGGGATGATAGCGCAGCCGTTAATGGTGCAGTCTGTAAGGAAGCACAGATTTCAACACCCTCACCAACGCTCTCCTCTGTTCATGTTGGAACGCCCTAGCTCGGTTATGTCCAGGACTGTGAGGAGAGTTGACTTGACCAGCATTCTATAACATTCACGAAAGCGAAATCGTCAAGCAGCAGTAAACAACACGCGAAATATTCGAAGACCTTTGTGGACAACGAATGCATAGAAAATATCTCGAATGCAAGAAGTGCAGGGATCCGTACAGTAGATTTGAAGACGACTCATTTTAAAAAAAAATGTGAAATCGTGCTTACTGTGTAACAACCCAGATTTACCCCAAAAATATGAAAAGATGTGGGATGCTGAATAAAAGCAGCATCGAAAATAAAGCGGAGAAATAAAGTCTGAGATGAACACTACGTGTAACGTCATCGCTCAGGTTCAGTGCATGTAGGGCAACCGTACCAAGCATTACTCTACAGTTCTTCGTTGTTTTTCACACCTTGTTCGCCAGCTTGAACAATATCTGAGTAGACAGAAACAAGTTGACAGAAGTGTTCGGTTGCTACCACTACACTGTCGAACAGTCGAACAGTACTCGCTCAACTAACATTGAGTGAGATTCTGATGGGCTCATAATGGTGTACGATCATGTTCCCAGCGACTTCGACAACAGTCTGCTAATTGCTGGATATTGATTGGATTCTCGAAGAATAGATACAGCTTTGCCGGACAGATAGCTGGTTGCTCTCCTACACGCCTTTTGATTTGGCAGCGAAAGACGAAACTGAGTTTGTCTCCATGAAAACACTCCAATCGATGTTTTGGAAGGTTAGTCAGCAGATGTGGAAAAAACTCATGCTGAAAACGCTATGGTGCCCTTGATATAGCTAAGAATTCTTTCCTAAGTTTTGAAAAAGATCACTTAGCGGTATGTTACAACCTTCAACTAATTTGTAGCAGTACTTCTTGTGGTCGCAACAGTTTCAATTCAGCGAGAAAAGCACATAGCTTCTACCACATCTCTGGGCTCAAAAAATTGATCAACCGACAGTTACATTATAAACTGAGATTAAGTATTGTTAACAGGAATTTGTAGAAAGAAAACGTGAAAATAGTGAACCCTCCCAACGGTTCACCGCTTCATCGTGGATGGGAGGTGTTCCTGGGTATCGGACTGCGATTTGCGGAGGGGGCTTGATCTCCCGGCAGGGTCTCCCAAGCTGAAAAGGATTCCGACGTTTCCATCAGGAAGACTGGCTAAACGGAAACCGGTACCAGGATCCACCACCGTCCTGGTATCAAAGTAGCATGGTGGTAAATATCCCTCTGATCCACAAGGGTTGTGACTCGGTGTGGTGGCGAAGAGCTGGAGCAGACCTTGGCCAAAGTGGCCTCGGGAATCCAGGTAACAACAATGGCTTAGCCAGCAAATCTCTGAAAGATGGAGATTATGCTGGCGCCCGCACAACCAGTAAGGACGGGCCGCTCAAGTATCAAGTAATTAAGAAAATAGTGCATTACTTTCCCGTCAACAAGTACTTCACAGATGTAGCAGTTGATTCCGTAGACCGTAAGAATCATGTCTACTGGTGAATCTGTCAATTTTCTATTAATGTTGTCACATACATAGAAGGAATCAACTAAGGAAATTCTGGGAGCAGCAGTGTTTAAGAGGAGATCCTCAGTCCTATGAAGGGAAAGGAAGAACGCGATGTCACACTTTCTTCACAAATCATGCATGGAATTTCAAAACATGACCAAAAAAAGTTGCTTCTAACAAACCTGATGAGCTCTTTTCATGCGTTCTTTGTACTGTGCTAAAAGCCGTTCGACGTGTTGCTCCATGAAAAAGCAGAACATTCGCGGCTTGCAAGGCTTCACATATTTCTCATATTTCTGCTGCTTAAGTCGGTTTGAAATCGATTCAGGCAATGGAGATGTACATCGGTTCACCGTAGGATGCGATGTTTCACCTCTACAAGACAAATTTCGCTAAATGATGTACAGCTGAAGTTTGTTATAATAACAGAATCTTGTTCATATCCATAACGATTTTTTGATATTACTCTTGTCGCTACTACTTGCACTACTAGAGAAAAAGGATAAAAAGACGAAGTAGTAGGCATTGGTCAATTAGTAGGCACTCGTCAACCACGCAAGGATGCGTCATCTATTCGCCTTCATTAAGCATTATAGATGTGATTAAATGCAAGTTTGCACTATTGAGGGCATTACCTGTGAACCAATTCAATATTTTAATCCTTGCGAAGATGTCCGGTACCCAATTTTCCGACCGCGTGAAACTTTATTTACCCAAGGTGCGGAATCGAGCCAACCTATTGCGCCTTGAGAGGGACCTTTAACCGCAGCGCTCCATAATCGGAAATGCACTTTTAGCACGTGAATGTGAACAAAGTACTGGCACCGTGAATGAGGCAATTACAGCTGATATCGCTGACATAACTATGAATAATGCTGCTGTATTTTTAATTTATGAATACAGATTTTAGCATGGGAAAATAGGAGGTATGCGATTTAAAGTCGAAAAACGAGAAAAGGCAAAGAAGATATTTAATATGTTTTGTTCTTCAGCCTTATTATATTACTTTAAATTGGTCCAATGTGCATGTGCTAAAAATATTAACAGTAGTATATATTATATACTATTATATATTATAATATTATATAAAATATAATATATAACATAATAATATTATATAAAATATAGTACATATATTATATGTATAATATTGTATTATAATATATATAATATTATATAAAATATATTAACATAAAACAGTAGAACCTTGATGGGGTATACTGTGATGAGACTCCGTAGGTTCTCTCTAATCGTTCGTGCTTCACTGGATGTGGCTGCTCTTTTGAAGTTGATGGCACAACATCGACACAAGGAGGGTTATGTCGGAGCTCGTCCTCATAGGCAACAAAACCTCGATGTGATTTATCAGGGTCCACAATGATATTTTGGACTCCGGTAACGGAGCCAGGAATCCCATGTACCGATGACACGCCGTCTCGCCCAGTCACATCGAGTCGATAAGTACGAGTTTCTGTGGCCTGTAAATGATACGGTTATACTAAAAATGAAGGTTTAATGAAAGATATCTCTCAAAACATTTGATTGGTACACAAGATCCATATATACCTTGTTGCATCATGTTTTGGAAAAGTCTATAGCAAAGGTAAGAGCGCAACAAAGAAAGCACTAATATGTACAATAGCGAATCGATGGCAATAAACAATTTCCAACATCACATTCTACTAGCACATGATCTGCACCGGAGTGCCGACGACCGCGTACATTATCAAACACTACTTAGGCCGGCCAGCATTGATGAATAGACGATGTGGCTCTGATTTAAGCGCTTCGATACCACGAAACAGGTTAAGATTTACCTCAACCAAGAACGGGCAGACAGGAGGACACTCAGTCAGCCCAAACTCGAGCACCTGTGACATACATGGAAGAATCATTCCGCCTCGCTCACATCACTATAGAACGGTTATCTACTTCAGATAACTTAAGACGCTGCCACCAAACGTTGTCTTGCTTCTCGTATAATCCAACCGACACTATGCTCAATTATTGAACGAGCAGTCCGAGTACATAAAGTTCACCCGGGAGAAGCCGAGAGAAAACTGGCTTCCGTTTTTGGACGTCCAAATAAACCTATCAAGTAGCGGTTACCTGACAAAGTGGTATCGAAAGCCAAGTAACAAGAACATTCTTGTTCATTTCCTTTCTTCCCACCCTTCACACACAAAGAGGGCGATTGTGAGAAACATGTTTCGAACAGCCACCTCTGTGTGCACTACCAAGGAACTAAAGGAAGAATCGCGCGACTTGGCTCGGCAAATAGCCATCTCCAATGGCTACGAAATAGTAACCCCACGAGATAAGTTTACAAGGAGAACGACGCGCCCACGCGAAACACTTGGCCAAAACAAAATCCCGTTTATGCTGCCTTTTATAAGCGATGAAGTAAGCGCAGCTATAAAACGATGCTTAAGAAGGGCAGGTCTAGAGGAATCGGTAGCGATAGTTGAAATACCACCGACTACTCTACGTCGCTAATTAGTTCGCAACCGCCTGTATGACCGTCTGTGTGAAACAACAAATTGCGTAATTTGCCCTTACGGCAGGGACGGTGATTGCATGAGTTCAGGTACGATATACCTGATCTCGTGTAACAATTGCGGAGATGAATATATTGGCGAAACGGGCAGACCTTTGTGTATCCGTATAAAAGAACACCTAGATGGCAAACGAAAACTAAGACGAAGCACCCCACTAGGCACGCATAGGATACAAAAGCATAGCGGAGACGATTCTGAAGTAAAAGTCAATATCCTTGCACAGGAGTCCAAAACACCAGCGCGAAAACTCCTACAGGCTTTTTGGATCAATGCCAAAAACCCTACAATGAATAGCAGGGACGAATGCCCGGAGGTCATACGCGACCTGATCCCGTACGTTCGCATCGATTTTTGATATGGGATGGTGCAGTCGTCAACCACATGCGACTATAATCAGCTGTTCTAAACTTCCTCATTGGAGGTCACGAAAAAGCGGTGGGTTTNTATACCTGATCTCTTGTAATAATTGCGGAGATGAATATATTGGCGAAACGGGCAGACCTTTGTGTATCCGTATAAAAGAACACCTAGATGGCAAACGAAAACTAAGACGAAGCACCCCACTAGGCACGCATAGGATACAAAAGCATAGCGGAGACGATTCTGAAGTAAAAGTCAATATCCTTGCACAGGAGTCCAAAACACCAGCGCGAAAACTCCTACAGGCTTTTTGGATCAATGCCAAAAACCCTACAATGAATAGCAGGGACGAATGCCCGGAGGTCATACGCGACCTGATCCCGTACGTTCGCATCGATTTTTGATATGGGATGGTGCAGTCGTCAACCACATGCGACTATAATCAGCTGTTCTAAACTTCCTCATTGGAGGTCACGAAAAAGCGGTGGGTAAAAGAGAAGTTGTTGATCATGTAATTACCAAAGAGTTTTTCGTCTTTTTGTAAATGTTATTGAAGCGTTTGGCCTAGTAGATTGTATATCAGTATACCCTTCCAGGCTCTGAAGAAGGCGATACTGCCGAAACGTCAGCTAGCGTTGTATTGTATTGTGTTTTTATGGAAGTAAATGTATGCTGTTTAAAAACCTCGCGATTGCTGAACAAGAAAACGACACACTATGCTCAACCTTATTAAAGGCATTCAGAGTGAGAATGCGACATGAATTGAAAGCTGGATTAGCAACAACACGAGCCTCAGCTTCCCCTTCCTGAACAACGAGTAGCTATCGACTCAGCCAAATTCCGATCTATACGATCCACAAGCCGATGATGTCCTATTTCTATGGTTAACAAAGTGTGGTGTTCTGGAATTTTCTACAGACAAGCCAGATGGTCAGCACCACGAGATCGCAAGTCACCTCATGAAGCTCATTGTTCAGGTAAAGTAAAAAAGACGGAAAGGACTCAAAATCCTACCATTGTACAATTCTACCTCACGCTGTGAAGTTGACATTGAAGGAAATTGAAATTGAACAGACTACCATAGCAATCCCTTTGCACAGTAGGGACGTAGCACACCTATCACCTACTTCGGGTTGAACGACAACAGACTTGACAATCACAACAATGCCAACGATGAGCCGATGTCGAGTGACACCGCCTGTCTTTCTAAGAGGAGGGGATCCAGTTCTATCCAAAAATTGTTCTTAAGGCATTGTTCTTAATAATTACAGCGAATATATCGTTACCCAAATTTCTGCTCACAGTAAATAAAATTGCAAGTGGAAAGGTTGTCAAAATCGACAAGGACTTCTGTCCTGAGATAATATTCAAGCTGAAATGGCGAGAAAATATAGAATAAAACATCTGAAATAAGACTTGTAATAGCGGCGAGGTTCTTCATGCATACCAGTTCTAAACGTAAGTGTCCAGCGAATGCGATCTAGAGGATGCAGGGTAGATAGCCAGATTTGATTAACTTATCATTACTTATTTATTCGAATCACTACTTGAAATAAGTTCACACGCAATCATAGGTTTTGTGCAGATTCTCGGCTTCAGCTCCAGCTATCATAAAAATAACTTTACGGACCTTATTGATAGGCGACACGTTGATGTTGACCATACTCTTCAGCGGCGCGGCGCTGAACGTGGTCCTTATGACAGCGTGTGGCGGCTGCTGACCGTATCGCGCCAGAGGCGACGCGCCTAGGCCGCCGATCTGCACGTGTGACGTCGACTGTCCCATTGGCGCCGAAATCGAGGAGTCCAGCGGACTCTTGTATGTATCGCGTACCACGTAGTGTTGTTTCATCATGTCACTGGGTCTGAAGAAAAGGCGATGAAGTATCAGATTGTTATCATTATTTCTCAATATTAGATAGAACGAGAACCAGTTTTGTATGAAAGAATCGAGAAAGAATTACACCGGAAATTCTTTTATTTTCGACGACCTTCACTTAAACTTAACCAGTTCTCCCAACCAACGTGTAAAATTGCGAATTTCATGAGATTCAAGAATATATTGACTTTTTTTATTTATTGCCCATTACTATTTTTCACGACAGAATATTATGTGTGGCACAACCACAATGGTGCTGAGATATTTACAAACCGCATGGTATGGTGGTGAACGCGTTAGCCCCGGAAACGGTAATAGCGCGTTCGTTCCCCACCACTGACATCCGCGGTCCGGAGTTCTACAAATATATCAGCACCATTGTGGTTGATTCAAGAATAGATTATAATAGCTCCGCAACTATCCTCACAAACATCTTTAATTTCTAATCTATACAGCAATACTCCAGATAACAGCTCTACCAAATCGGAAACTTCAAAAGCGAGCGACCTTAAGTGAAAACTCTGCATATTTAAGCAAATTTCGCATACCAAACAATAACTCTGAGAGATTTGGCTTCATCTTATGATGGACAGAGCCACAATTCAAAAAAGCTCCCAAGAAGTACAGTATAGCGGTGATGTCACCTAAGGACAATATGAAGAAAAACACAAAAATTCTCATATTTTTTATACTAACGAAAATCCTCTTTTAAACGCCTTTCCCTTCATTCAAGACGATCTTCAGTTTTTCTCGAAATTAACGAACCGTTGCGCTCCACGTTCGATGTAAATTGACGGCTTGAAGTTGCTTTTTTGTGGACGAACTTGCTGTTGGTAGAAATCTTGGGCGTATGGTGTTCTAAAAATGAAAATGCTAAGCCATCATTCATATGACAGCTCCATGAGAATGGTCTCTATATTGTTAGTTACTATCTCATCTATTCTAGGGGCCGTGTGGCGCAGTGGTTGGAGGCGCCTTGCAACACACATGAGATCGATCCCTGCGCCCACGGCTCGCTCACCAAGCCTTCCATCTCTTCGTGGTAGGAAAATTAGCACCAGATTTGTCTGGAACGATGTTGTGTCTGGAGCAGCACTGACTCGATGCATCGGTAGGCCACCGCCAGTCATTGTATAGGCCAGATATGCATTCAATCAGCTCCAAACGATGCTGAATGAAGTTGAATGCATGGCGCATTCCTCAGCGATTCATCAACGCCGACAGCTTTATCCTTATTCTTTATTATCTCATCTATTCTAAGCCATCAGTTAGAACGAAACCAAATTTTCACCAAACTGAAACGAAACGATAGTGACAACGAGGCAGTTTGATGTGGCTACCTTCTCTCTGAAAATGTTTATAACCTATAGCCAAAAGGTTCCTTTATATTTTGTACACATTCTTCTTCGTTCCTTAAAAGTTCTTCGTTCTTCCAAGACAGAAAAAAAGTGAAAAAGTGAAATAAAAGTTGCGAATTAAAAAACATCATGTCGTTAATATAGTAAAGATAGTAACAGTAAAGCAGTTTAGTGAAATAATAATAATTTCTCCTAAAAAAATACACTAAGGATAAAAACAATACAAGTCATGAAAGGGATATGTATCAGATATGAGATATCCTTACTAAGGAGTTTTAGAGCGCAAAATTCAAGCAAAAAATAAAAGCGTGCAAACAGCTTTTGGAAATTATAGCGGACATAGAATATAGTAAAGAACTTCTCATACAAATGTGGCTTGTTGGTCGACCATGACCTCTAGTTAATAGAGTAATTCCCTATAGCGTCGTTTAGCATGATTAGAACACCTTCTGTAGATCTTTACAAAGCTTGAATCCCATTTCAACGTTTTGATGAATTTATGACTGACACAGGAAGGTTGCAAAACTCTAACAGATTGATCCACGATCGATGTTTACTTCACCGTTGTTGATAGAAATTTAAAACTACTTCCAGACTTCTGTTACATTAATGTGCACTGCTACTGGATCTGGGTTCCAGTACTTGTTTTTTATCGTTTTATTATACCAGCCTTCGTCATATATTACGTCGATCCACGCAGTTTTGCATTCGGTTTATTTTCTTCCATTCATCACCGAAAAAGGTGTCCAGATTTATATCATGGTTCTATTGAACTTGAAAAAACTTGTCTTCTTCATGATGTCATTGAATACCAGCAGAACGTAATCCTTCTCGGAATTCCGAGATAGCTCTGCTAGAGCGTTCTCAAATCGTTGCCAGAGACATTAGCGGATCTTAATGGACCAGAAGTTGCCGCCAGACAAATCTGGTATCAATTTGCCATTAGGGAACCAGGTTGGCCCGACACAGCGTCGAACACAGAAACAATCTACGCATTGCAGAGCAACCTCGCTACATGGCCTCTGACTAGTAATTGTTAAATAAGGTAGAAGCAAATCTAATGGATTCTTATCAAATTGAATTCCACTAGTGTATGAAAATATATACCAAAATCTGAAGTTTTAGCTTTACTCACGTGGAAATATGCACATGGGTTCTGTGATAATCCGGAGCTACAGGCACATACTGGCGTATGAGTGCTTTTTGCGGCGAGTTGGATGGCACTGAAGACGTTGCTGCAGTTGAGCCGGCCGAATGCTGCGACGTCATGATTGTCGAAGAGCCAGCCATTGAAACTAACGACGATGTTGATGGCACCACATGGCCAGACGAAGTGACAAAAGGCTGAATCGCTGCCGTAGGAGAAGGCAACTGGGGAGGCAATGGTGACGTTGAACGTGATGAGGCGCTAGAAATCGAAAATCTGCTGGAAAGTCCGAGCAACCTTTTTCTTGTGAAATACGATGGGTTTTTCTGATGAAATAGAACAAATTTTTGCAATAATTGTCATTACTGAATACCTACACTTCAAGATATTGGAGTGTTAAATACGTAGGAATTCGTGAGCAAATCACAAAAAAAACCGAAGACTTAAGAGATTCTGCAATTTAGCCCGAGATGCATATGTGAATACTAAAATGTTACATTGTCAGCGAATAAGCAGCAGAATGTCGGTCAAATGGATTTCAGCTACACTCAGTGAGTCTCGAGAATGTTAATCTAGTCAATACCTGTCTTCATTAGTGACAAATGGTGCTGGATACAAATTCCCATTTGTTACGCCGTTTGGTATCTGAAACGATGAGACTAATAAAACTACGGGGAACATCGAGCCCTCTGATTCTACGCTAGCTACCTTAGAGCTTTGCACAGTATGATTTCCATTAACTGAAGATGAGCCAGCTGACGGGGGAATGACAGAAAGTAATCGGTCCTGAGAAAGAAGTTTCCTTAGAAATACTCATTTCTAGGGCACTAAAAGAGATTATGATAAAATATCCAAAAAAGGATAGAAAGCTATTATATTATTTTAAAAACTCAAAATAAAGCGAAAAATAGTGATCAGGAAGGTGGCCCAAATATTTCGAAAGTTTTATGACTTTACATCTTCTTTCATATTTCCTACATTCCCCACTCCTTCCTCTTCAACACATTCGCAACGATGCCCACGATGCCCACGAATCCGACGAGATAATAGTGATCTGATCGCCTTCAGCTTTAAACCATCATATCTCAGCTCATACTGGACTTTATTTTTCAATTAATGGATTCAAATAAGCGACATTGGAATAGATCATACACAAATTTCTACGTTTTTCTATCGTTAATGTTCATATCTCGAACAAGAATGCAGGTGAACAAGCCAGATTTCGTCCAGCACGACATGGCGGTTTTTCCCAGTGCACCTTTTGGCTTTTGCAACTGTTGTGCTTACGTGGGAATTTTAAACTCAGCAAAGTTTTCCAATCGTATTTTAAGATACTTTATGGATCAGTTACTTTTTCGATAATATGAGACTCTTGATGACCACAAAACATGACGAGTTGGGAAAACCACAGAATTGTAGAAGACATAGGCCAATAGGTGGTGTGTATGCTACTATTTAACCCATTTTACCATGGTCTGGGATATAGACACATTGCTCCCAGCACTTCGCATTGTTTTGCCGCTCAGGTTGAGTCCATCGCTACATTTTTTGTACCCGCCTATTCAATACGATATCTGCGACTCATCATAGCAATTAGGATTGAAATAGCAGTTAATTTCCACTCAAAATGGCGGTCAATGAACTCGTTTAAGAAAAGGGTTTTTGTACTTTGCCGAGCGCAGAACACAGCTCTCCCCACGCTCGTCAAAACATCTGTATTGAATAACAATCACTGGTGATTGAAAGAAGTGGTCGAAAACAGTCTTAGCGTCAAAATAAACCATCAAAAACAAAATGACCTCTAAAGAGATCATCTGGTCCTGGTGTTTATTGAATGACTCCTACAGAGGCCACATCGGCACGTAAGTGATAATGACAATTATCATCTGTTGTCGAGAAACCAGCTACGTCGGAGAGAAACCAGCTTCGTCGGAAACGCTTTAGGACATTTTGCTCCTCTCCCTACTTAAAATTTATGCAATAAACAATATCTTTTCTACCTTGAAAAGAAGATGAAGATGAAGACACGACATGCTATCACGAAGATTTTAAAGAAAACAAAGAAAAGTCTATAATTGTACTAAGACATTAAGAAATAAGATATCGGTAATTGAGTAGAACTGTACTAAACATAAAGTGGAAAATAAAAAGGTCTTGGAAACTTTAAACTAACACTCTTTCCTTCCATGTTCGCATGGTCGTGATTGATGTGCTTGAGGACATCCACGGCGGCGGCCGTGCTGGCGAATTTAACCAACTTCAATGCATAGAAAGCGGCGTCCTAAGAGTCAAATTGATGGGGCGGTTTTATTATACTTTCTGAAGTAATAACACTTGGATAATATAAAAGAACTGCTGCAAGATGCTTATATCCTTCGAGGTTTACCACCTCACCGTAATTCGGGGTAATTTTAAGTCCGAATTTTTTCAGTTTACGCCAGGCTTTCATTCTCATAGGAGTTCTTCCAAGCTGAGAAAAAACTCGACATTTCGATCGGAAGCACAATAACGGGAATCATTACGCTACGGCAGAGGCTTGCGAGCACGGTCACTTTATTTCCAGGAACAGTAAAAATGAAAAATACCGTATAGAAAATGTGATGTTATCCAATTCCAATAAATAGATATAGTCCATTTAGTAACTCTGGAGCGCGAAAAAGAAAAATTGAAGGTTTAGACGAATCGCTTTTGTTCTTTAAGTATTAACGGGATTACAGTTGGATACATGTAAAGCAGATATATGTATATGTGTTCTTACGATGTGCTTGAGGACATCCATAGCGGCGGCCGTGCTGGCGATTTTAACCAACTTCAATACGTAGAAAATGGCGTCCTGAGAGTCAAGTAACTGGTGTAGTTTTATTATACTTTCTGAAGTGATGGTGACTCATCATCCTTCGTGAACAACACATGGTGGTCCAACAGCAAAGCTCTGAGGAAGGAGAAGTCACCGAAACGTCAGCTATTGTTGAACAAAGACAGCAAGAACCACAAGAACATCTACACCAACCTCACATTAGCTAAAAAAATGGCAGCTCATAAGGATATATATACAGATATATCGACAATTATGCCGAGGTCTTATGATGCAGATACTCAACCAGTAAAACTCTCAACGAAGAAGGTAAGAGAGCTTGCACAGCTATTCGCGCATGCTCCAGTTCAAATACTCGCTAACTGAATCCTCATGGGAATCGAACCAAGCACTAATTTAAATCGGTGGTAACAGAGGGTGAAAAAAATCATTTGCAAAGAATTATTTCTAAAGCTTAGAAGATAAAGAATAAACCCAAAAACGATGCCGAGATACAAGTAAAACTAGAAGCATCAGTTGGGCTTTGAATCCGCAATTACCATTTCCGGAGGCTAACGTGCTATGCACCACTCCAACCGAGGCCTTTGTTTTGCCTTTCTCTGTCATATTTTTACTCTGTAGGTGCCATCAGCAGTCACCCATCAATGAGATTGATCTGGCGAGCACAAATCAGTGTTGAACGCAGTTAACTTGGAGCTGCAGTCGAAGTCACAATGTTTTAACTTTTATTTTCTGCCGATCCTTTTTTCAAGGCAGCGTATCATGTGAAAACATGGCTGATAAAAAGGCAAAGCAAAGACCTCGGTTGTTGTGGTGTATAGCACATGAGCCTCAGAAAGAATAATCGTGGGTTCGAACCCCAATTGAGGTTCCGAGTTTTGTTCACATCTCAGCATCCCTATGGTTGTATTTCACACCACATCCTGCCATGAAAAAAGAAGAGTAGGCAAAAAATAAAGACTAAAACATATTAAAGAACAAAGTTTTCAGCGTTGATCAGCCCCTTAGAGGAGCGTGGATGCATATTAGACCCATACAGTGACTTAAGGAGACCTACCACCGATTTACGATACCTGCGTTTCTTACCCTTCTAGATAGATCTAGTACTAATTTTCCAACAAAAGCACCTCTAACTACTGCGCTACATGCGCCTGTTTACAAAGGGTAAAACATTTAAATGCCATCAGTTGAGTGCTTAAAGCGAAAACAACGTTATAAAATGAAATGCGAATATAGTGTTATGTCTCTAACTGACTAATTTATGCTTTGTAATGTATAACTTTCACATGACCACTTTGCTATTCGGTTCTCTGTAATCCTGAATGATTTGCGATAACATCACTTCAAAACCACTACGACCTACATTCCACGCCACAAAAGTCACACCAAAAACGATCATCTACTACAATTAACGAAAAAACCCATCCATAACCCAAATACCGAAACTGTGTTTGTTTCAAAGAGAAAGAAATCATTGAAAAGCGATCAATCGGGAAGTTTTAACGACGGGGCAGAAACTGTTTCTGTCCATAGCCGCTTGCTTCTCATCGATTCTAGAAAGATTCTATTAAGCTGAACGATATACGTTTTCCTATTCGTCAACTCCAATATGCGTGGGTTTCGCATGGTCGTTTGTTTGTATGAAAGCGCTAGCACTTCAAAGGATTCTTTCGGATGAAAATGTCGTATTTTGTAGACATTTTTTTCCGAGAATTAGTAATGCTGTTAACATTTTTTTGCAATGAGTCAAAGAAATTCCATCAGTCAACAACGGCCGCCAAAAAGTCGGAAAATTCCTCCACGCAATGATATCATTAGAAACGAAGTCAGCTGATGCAAACATAGCTCGTATATTTTCTTGTTAAGAAACTTTTCATCTCTATTAAGAAAGACGGACGAACTTTTGCCAGAGTGTAGATCAAACTAAAAGACTGAAGTCTGTAAGCTTCTTCTCGGAAAGGAGAACGCACCATCCTTACAGCGCTTTTATTTTTCTAGTCATTTTGTTGTTATTCTTCATCATTTCATCTTTTTCTCTCCTACACAGTGGCATTACAATAAACACCTCCATAATTTACAGTGTGGCTGTTCCATTGAAAACCACAGGGAAATCACGCTATCATTCCTTTCGTGATGAATTTAATTACTGGAAATGACTAAAACTTTACAATATTGCTTCCTCCTGTGTCGGCAAATATATGAAAAAACAACATTAGCATAAATAAAACGAAGAGTAATATTTGTCTGGTAAACCCACGTATCCTGCATGTGACATTAGCTCTAAGTTTAACAACAACGTTATATCGCTGAACTAGAAAAACGGACTACTAGAATCCCGAAAAAGTGGGAGTTCAAAAAAAAACATCAGATATGAATGGGATGCAGCAACTGGGTGTAGTAACTTGATGGATTGGTTCGAGCAGTAAACGATGTAGAGCTTGATGATCGAATTTACAAAGAAAGGATTATGCTAACAGTTTCGCTAAATTTTCAAGAAGTTATCAAGTAATGATACACTATCACGAACCTGATCGTAGCCCTGAGCTATGAGGCTGTCGACCATAGCTCGTTGCTGTCCAAGTGCTCCAGAGTTCGTCGCCGACTCGACCACTGTTAGGTGCATTTCACTGTGCTGCACGTTCTGCTCCGCGGCTGTTACCGGCACGATATCCCCAACAGTCTGCTCAAATGGTCGTAATGAATCACGTATTAGCTCAAGTTTATCGCGATGTCGACCAACACGGACGTCCTGTAAGCGTGGCAGAATAATAAATCAACTACCAAAAACACACCTTAAATAAAAAATGCTGCGAGAAATTAGGAATTCAATCGCCAAATTCGACGAACTGAAGACAGAAAGTAACCTAGAAAATTGTATTATCCTGCCAAAAATGACGAGCTTACAAGATCACTAATGAATTTCACCGTCGAAAAAAGTGAAGACTACTTGTGCACTCCCAAATAATTAAAATTAGCAAAGCAATAGGATGGGATGGGATTCCCAAACAAGTTATATTTCGAAAGTATAACAAACCAACCTAAAAAGTCTCACTAATATGCTTGCATACTCGGATGACCCGTCTTCACTAGTTGTGCGGGCGCCAACACAATCCCCACCTTTTTTTCATTTTTAGAAACTTGCCGACTGAGCCACTGTGGCTCCCTGGGATCCCATGGTCAGCCTGGCCAAGGTCTGCCCCGGTCTCACTATTATAATACTACTAATACTGTTCCCGCTGTGAGAAAACATCTATGACTCTAAAACTCGAAAACGCTCGACACCACACTTTCAACACTGTTCTATAATTTCTCTGAGTATGAACGACTGTTTCTTCGGTATATCTCGCGCTTTTTCCCTTATTATTTGGACATCGACACATGTAAACTGAGACGTTTTATGCCAGGTATTATATTTAGCCTAGCCAACCGGCCCTCTTTTCACATTCCAATAGTCCAGTATAATTCATCACATCCATACCATTAAACCTTCCGGAATGACAGTCAATACGCATTCTAAAGTTTATGTCTGAGACAGCACATCTTGCAAAGGGCAATCGGCTGACTCACTAGACTCATTCATTCTCAGTGGAAATTCACAGCGCATCCAATCTACTCGTCAATGCGGTAATCAAATGTCCTTAAATGTTCTTATCATTGACTTTTATGACTTTCGAATCACCCATTGTGTGTAATTCTGGAGGTGATTTGGTAAGCAAACAGCGCTTACTTTGCGATGATTCTCCTTATTTCTCACTTTTACGACGAACAACCAAAAGAAGATGTAACTAAGGATATCATTACATCCTCTTGGTCTCGAGTCCTTTGAAACACTGCAGACGTCACTAGGAAAAGCAAACTTCACACATTGGTGACTCATTAAATGATGAAGAAATAGTGAACGATACACGATACAGCGCTCAGAGTTGATCAATACCTGAGGAATGCGCCATGCATTCGACTTCGTCAACTTTTGTTGAAAGTGAATGAATAGATGCCTACAGAATGACTTGCGGTCACTTGTCGATGTATCAAGTCAGTGTTACCATCCTCCCTTACGCTTATGGCACCAATTTGTTGACACCGAAGGAATGGAGTGCTCCGTAAGTCCGGGACGCCAGATTGAACCAACGACCACGTATGTATTGCAAGGAATCTCTAAACAATGCGCTACACGCCCTATGAAGAAATACTAATAACAATCGTAAGCCAAATGGTCGATGTCAAAATTTCCTCATTGGTTCCCCTACAACTACTGCAATACTATTAGGATCCAAACCGAAAAAGCGAATGGAACACATGATATCCCAGGGCCTACATTCTTTTAACCTCGGCATTGATCAATAATTCATTGTTTTCTTAATAAGCAAACACAAGGTTGTTATTACAGCATTTATTCATTCACAATAGCTGATGTTTCGGTAGTTCCGCATTATTCATAGCCCAGAAAGGTTAAATTTCCGTGCAATCTATTCAGGCAAACACTTTCATAACCTCAGCGTAAAGCACCTAATACACGAATTTTCATTCGTATAATAAACAGCTTCTTCTAAACAATAACCTTTATGTTCTTTGTAAGTCATCCAGTTACTTGATAGAAACTAGCAGCAAAAAGTCTTACCTGGGTGAGACATGAACCCGGCCCAGGTCAAAAAACCAACCCGGGGTCTGGAGCGAGGTAACGTGTTACGACAAGGTACTCTTCCGTTCACTGTGGCGGGTGGACATGGATGAGTAGATCCATGGCTTATGAATTCAGCGAACGTTTGTCGCCTCCTTCCATCCCATCCGCACTCAAAAAATAAGCTCTAAGGATTTGGGATTTGCTTAATGCGTTATAATATTCGATCATCAGGGTGTGCACCATGGGAAACTATTGCAAGACATTCGTTATCACCGTCTCGTTTCCAAAAAGATTCATAAGAGAACAGAAAAAAACTGGAATTCGATTTAGATAGCAGTGCAAGCACGTGTCTTAACTACCATGTCCTACGATTTAATAGCCGTAATCAAGTTGGCATTTGTTTTCCGAATTCCAGTCCAAGACCAAGGACTAATGAAGGACCGATACGTCCCCTAGTAGATTACTAGTTGCTAAGACCTTGGGAAAAAACATGATCGTAATCTCCGTCTTGATCTCATCCAAAAATTCCAAACGATAACTGCTGAAATCATTAAGATCGAATCGCATCGAGTTGATCGCTACGATAGACGGTAGCAGTATCAGAGTGTTGAAAAACCAGCCACGTTTTAACCCAAACAACATGAATGTGACAGGAGTAGGCATGAATAGATAGAAATAACCTAAAAGGTGGCAAACTGCCAATGCCACAGATGTATGTGCTTCTTAGAATTCGTTGCTAACACAATACGTCCTTGCCACCAATGGCTTACAACCTCATCGCGGCCGAGCAGAGTTCACAATTTCCACTTGGAAGCAAAGCCGAGGGTAAGCCGATGTTATAGCAGAGCCCATTCAGCTACCATGGATACCCTTACAGTGAAACAGTTTTAGAAAAAAAAAGCATCGTACTAGAAGTGTGAAGCTCTTCGTTTCTTCTGAACGACGGGAAACAAGGGACTACCGTTGCAGCTCTTAGGAACGAATGGAAATAACTGCTGCTTGTTTCAGTTACCAAATGAATAATAGTATTAAAAGTGATACAAGTCAAAAATTAGTAAGATCTTTAAAACAAGTACCAATTTTTCCCAACTTGAAAAAATCGTTCCTAGACTTAACTCCAGACCTTTTTTGTTCATTCTCCCTACTCTCACTTTGAGAACAAACTTTCCTTTGATATCCAAAACTTAAAGGAGATTTTTAAATAAAAATTCCCATCAGAAGTAACTTAGGAATGGTTCACAATGGGACAGAAAAACAGCCACTCGCTCTTTTTCCACGGCGTTTGGAGATAACTACAATCACACCCAACGTTGGCATTCGAATTCCTCTCGTGACGAGCTATCAGAGAGAGGGACTGTGAGAAAAAATGAATGACTATTTCGATGAGAAGCTGGAGAAGGCGGAAAATTTAAAATCAACAGATCAATGTAGTGGATCAATAAAAGAATCGATACAAGATAGCTATAGATGTCATTGAAAAGATTTATTGGTTTATTTCTTCCATTTCCCATCCTTTTCGTGGGTAATCCAAACGCAAAAATGCGTTGAACACTTGAAAGGAACAGCAGAATCTCCCATCGTCGAGTTTTTCAGGACTTCAGAACTCAAAAGAAGAGTGGGAACGGATGGCCTGGAAAGAAGCCCAGGATGCTTTTCTCAGTTTTTTGGGTTTCTTTAGTTCCTATGTGATTTTATACCCATTTATAACCAATGGTACCTTAATTTGTACTAACGTAAATAAAGAGAAAGCCGAACTAAAGATAAATTCCTTAACTTCTGAGGAAAACGATTGTTTCCCTTTAGCCCAGGAAATCAAGCAAGGTTCATATTTTCTAATAAACAGCATCAACAAGTATAAAGCTTAGTGATCCCCTATTTTATCACTCGAACCCCACAAAGACAACTGACCACAACTTTCTACGCCGACTATACACCTCCTCGCCATTACATCTGATTTTCTCTAAACAGCTGACCATAGCACGCACCGATCGATTAACCAGGCCATTCGGTTAACGGTAGCCAATATAGTACTTTACAGTATGACTTAAGTTCTTTTTCAATAAGGAACACATTTTTAATGGGGGGGCAAAGGTCAATTATGGTGAGAAAAATACCACACACTGCTGATCTTAGACGATAGAAATCGCCGTGTTCATGATGATGCGCTTATCGATCGTCGGATCAGCTAATTGCTGATTTATCGATCGATACGGGGAGGATGCACCACAATGACCGAGATGGAATCAAAATGGCAAGATGTGTGATGACTCACGCCCAGATATCGATTGATGTGACAAGGAATGTTACTACGCTACTATGCCGGCTACTAGAGAATCGCCTAGTGATTGATTGATCGGAAAAAAATCGAGAAAACGTTAAGAAATCAAGAATCAACGAAGAAGACGAACATGAAGAAAATACCGGATAGAAGAGACGAGATGACGCAAATTTTTAGTTTTGAATGACTACTGGCTAGGAAATCACAACATTTTTAAACCAGTTACAGAAGAATGACATTGACGAGCAAAGCGCAGAAAAACACTCAAGTTCGGACGAGTTTTCCGGTTTCAATTGTTTCGGTAAAGAAGAAAAAGTGATGAAAATGAACTAAGAACTATGAATTACTAACGAATGAGCTCCGTGAGAAGCAAAAATTTGGATTCATTCATAAAGAGGGAAAGTAGTTAAATGTGCTAAGCCAACAGACGGAAGGTTAGCTTAACAACAAAAAGAAATCAGGATGAGGTATCATATAGAGCACTTATTTAGCACCAAAATACTTTAGAGAATTTGTGGATGTATTCTTTCTTGATAAGCTTGCACGAGGTTGATAAATATATTTATTTTCGGCTAACGTTTCGACGTCTTCGTCTTCCTCAGAGCCGGTGATCCGAGTCGATGGTCCATGCTTGTTGTTGTTCGCCTCGACGTTGCGTCTTCGCCTTCCTGTCGAGCCAGATCTTCCTCAGCGAGCCATCTTCTCGAAAAAATTTGTGGATGACCCTAGCACGAACGAGTAAAGCCCCTTCATCAGTTGAAATAGCGCAACAAGAAGGAAAGGGTTTGGTAGCACAAAAATGTTTGAGAACGAGAGAAGAACGGAAAAAAGCAGTTGTAGAGGAACAACAACCACATTACTGTGAAGTAGAACAACTACCTGCATGTTATTGTCGTTGCGTTGATATCGTTCATGACCATTCGCCCGCATGGCATGACTTACTACGAAATGGATTCGATCTTCAGCAGTACTCCTACTGTTGTCGTCGTCGTCAAGTCGAGTCGAGGCGTTCAGTACGCGTCTGGCGGCCGACGCTGCTGCTGCTGTTGCTGTTCCTGATGACGGCCGGCACCGTCGCCGCTGTCGCTCGCTATCGCCCCGCGTCGACGCCGCCCGAACACGTTCGCGCCACCGCACGCGGCGCCCTCTGGCCGCATTCTTGCGGCTGCGTCTCCGCGCCGATGTCGGCTGTCGTGTCGTCGTAATACGGCCGAATTCCAGGAGCTGCGTTTCCACACACCACATTGTACTCCTTGTCGTCGTCGTTCTGCGTCTTCCACCCCGTCAACGTACACTCGACGGCGCTGGCGATGCTCGACGCTTACTGCTAGATCACCGTTGCTGCTGACAGGTCAGCGCGCAACACTTTTGATCTCTAATGCCACCGCCGCCGCTATCAGCAGCCGTTTTTGATCTCCGCGGCCTTCCGCCTATCAGCGACGGCATCGCCGCGCATAACCACGAATTCCAGTAACTTAACAGCGGTCAGAGGAAAACTTCTGACGGATTTTTTCTCTCGTTTACTTGCTGCTTCCTAATCGACAGTATAGCACCGATGGTTGATATAGTCAGCCATTTAAATAGGTGCGATGTGAATCACGTTTGCGGTTACATGCATTGATTTCAATACATTAGTAAAGGTGCTGCGTAGACTATTCGGTGCCTACCTACCACAGTTACTGAATGAGTTGTGGGAACAGATATTTTCGGCACATCAATTAATTTCGTGGAAAAATGTGCAAGTTCTGGATTATGAATATTTGATAATCGACGTGAAGAGTGAATAATTTGACTCGTTTGAAAACCCGAGTGCGTCATCAACTGGTTCGAAAATATGCGAACTATTCCTCTCTACTCCTGGAAAATCAACACAACAAAGCGCAAATCTTCTAAAAACTCCACACGAAAGAGTTATTATACTGTAAATGTACATTTCAGTTACTGGCGTGTAATCTTGTTCAGTTCGAATATCGAATATTCGATTTATTCGGATACTTTCTGGAATGTATTTATATTATGCTTGTCCAAAGCGTCCAAACCTTGTGCATCATTTACGCCATAGCTAAACTCAAAGTAAACTTCGACAGTCGAGGTAAAGAATATTCCTATAGGGAGGCTTTTTGCTATCCGGATTTACCAAAAGGACCATATCTCGTCGAAAAGTCTAGTGATCATCATGGATTCGTGTACTATAATCTACTACCTATCAATAAACAATGTATGACAATTAGTTACAGGAAGTTTGGCCGTCACCAACTTGTACACTCTCACCAAAGGGGTTAGCGGTTTCCAGTAAGTTACGGTCTATAACGACAGTTCCATCCGGATCTTCTTAAACGCTCACGAAATGCGGTGGTTACAGGAATCCGCTGAATCTGGCGGAGCATTCCGATCAAGTGGTCGCGTAAGTAAAATACCCTTTGAGCTACTTTTTAAGCAAGTGACTGGTCCAGAATCTCGTTGGAAGGTTCAGAATCTAACAGCAAAATGACTTCCAATCCAGGAAAGTCTTCCCTTCTTCAAAATTTTGTCGAAGGAGTTTTGTGTGTTGATTTTCACTCAGAAATCCGACACATTTCTAGTCATTGTAGTCCTCCTTAATGCTTTAAAGTGAGCAGCGCTGCTTTTGGTAACTGAACGATTAGGCAATAGTGAAGACTTTCTAAGTTTGAAGAACGGCACATATGATGGAGGCCCTCAAGCACAACACTAGGTTGAGGCTCGAAATTTTCCACTCGATTCTGTCTCATTAAATCCGTCAGTGAATGGACATTTTTGAAACCGTAAGTAGCAGCTACAAAGTAGATTCTTCTACATGCTGAACGGAACTTCAGCTGATATTCAGCTGTCAGCTTAATTCAGCGCTCTCTAGGGCTTCTAGGCCAAGATTTGATCTTGTACTAAAACCACTCCTCAAAATACTTAGCTTTCTTACAATTTTGTTTCTTAGGAATCTTTAACTGAAGATGAAAAGAAATGAAAACGAAGACGATAATAGAAAGCGTAACCCTAGAAATAATATGTGCTTTGAAATGTTATATTATATAAACAAAAAGGCTCGAAATATTTTTTTCCAAAGTTCCAATGTTTTAAAAAGGGATGAAACTGGCGTTGATTTTTTGACAACGAGCTGAACATGGTAGTAAAAATTTTTTGTTAACATACCAGTAGTAACAAATTTTGACGTGAATGCTGTAAGAGTAAAATTCGGTATTCCATTGGTGGCCACGATCCAGTTAGTTCACTATCTGAATAAAAGGGGGTCACGTGAACTCACAACTTTCTATCTGCTTCTTTAAATCCTTTCTTTTCTTTCATTACTACCTTTTCCTATTTATCGATCTGTTATACCTCTAATACAATAAAACTCTTTTTGATTCAACAGTCTTCACATTTACAGATTCCAGCGCTTCCATTCGATTGGTTTCCTCGCATTTACTATCCACAAAGTCCTTTGAACTTTTCACGTGAGGGCTTTGCTGGTACTTGCAGACTTCCGTCATCGTTACACGAATGTCGTTGAGGATCATTGCCTGTCGTCTCGTACCTCCCTGCAGTCCTGGAACAGCCGTGCTAGAGCATTGACACTAGGATTAGCGAGAGGGAATTGTTCCCAGACAACTCTGGTACCAATTTCACGACCCTGGATCAATGAGAGGGCTGTTAAGCCCGAGGGTCGAACCAGCACCGTGCTCGTAATGAACGATATCAATCAAGCTTTTGATGATGCCTAACGCAGTCCATCGATACCTGTGTACAGTATCATTAGTCCTTAGTTCTGTGCCATTGCTCAACAAGCTAACTCTCACTACTTTTTTCAGTCAAAAGTGATGTAAGTTAACCCACAAGACCACGCTAGCGCACTTCGTACTTGGCCCAACCGATTGCGAGCGGTTTTTGATCGGCTGTGGACTTTCCCGCTTCTTGACAATAAAAAATAATTTTTCAATAACTAGCGTGCTTTATGGGTTGTGAGCATGACAGGATTGTATACAGGATTTTCATTTATCGTTCCGTGGGTTTCAATCTCATGTACTATACTAGTTATTGTGCTTTACTATGGTCCATTACGCAAGTGTGTTGCTGTCAGCGTGGTATTTTCCACTCTACATTGAATCCAGTTTCCTATTTTTTACACCTGCACACTCCATACGATGATTACAGCGATTAAAATGAAACCCTCCTAACGGTCTGTCACACCATCGTGGCCGGGAGGTGTTCCTAAGTGTCTGATTGCGATGTACAGCGGGTGGATTCGTCCCCCCAGCAGGGTCTCGCAAGCTGAGAAGGAGTCCAGCGTTTCCATCAGGAAGCCTAGCTAAGAGTAAATTAATACCAAGATCCACTATCGCCCTGGTATCGAAGTCGCTTGGTGGGAAATCTCCCACTGACCACAAGGGCTGCGACTGCCCGTGGTGGTGACGACCTCGGGCAGACTTTGGCCAGGCTGTCTTCGGGATTCCAGGGAACCACAATTAACCAGTAAATCTCCGAAAAATGGTGATTATGCTGGAGCCCGCACAACCAGTGAGGACGGGCAGTTAGAGTACCAAGTAAGTAAGTAAAATCAAAGAACAGTTAATTGTTAGCCAAATTATCGGCCAATGAACTTTTTCAAAAATAAGTTTTTTGTTAATTATTAAGTGCAGAGAGTATGTCGAGTGGGTATACATAGGACAGAGGGAAAGACTCTGGAACCCACCAAACTCAACGTGGACACTGAAGTGTCCATACGGCCCTTTAGTTCAAACCGTTGTGGATACTATAGTGTCTACAGGGGACGTGATGGGTTAAGGAGTAGAACGCTGACTTGATCGTTAGCTAGCTTCTGGAACTCAATGTCATTTAGTGTAGTGTCAATTTCATCATCACTACTTCGGCAAAATTCGGGATGCTTAATTGACCGATTCTCTTGGTAAAAAAATGAAATTCTATGTCAAAGTTTTGTTCCCTTTTCTACTTACTTTGGTCTGTTTGGTAGAAAGCGGTTTCATTCGTCATGGCTGACCAGTTCGCGCCCAAGAAAGCACGCAAAACGAAACAAACGCTTATGTAACATTAAAACCTTTGGCATTGCTTGGATAGTACGACGACAATGGTCGATAGAGCGTAAAATTTCTATTCGATTAGCATTTTATTGGTTGGGCGACTTTTTTTCCTAGAGTCTCAAAATAGTCGTACCAGGTTGTTCTTAAGTCGTTGCCGCTGTAAGTGGTCCGGCTTTGTGATCGGAGGAACAATTGCTCCCTTGCGATTGACGTTCTTCCAGGTAGGATTCATAGATTTACTCTTAGTCGATTTTCCGAATAGATGTATGGAATTTCTTAAAATGGGTAACTGTAAGGAGATCAACACTTTGTTGAACACCGTAGTACGACACTGAAGAACACTTCGTGGCCAAGGTTAAGTGGCATGTTATAGAGTGGGAAGCCTGTATCAAGTTTTTCAAACTCCTCCAAGACACTATTCCAATGAACATCTTGATTTAACTATGCATGGCGCATCCCTCCAGGATTGATCAACGTGAAAAGCTTTCTAGTTTTTTTACTATTACGTAGCGAAACTAGTTTTCTTTAACTGTTGACAATTCCTTGATAACTTGCGAGTTTGAGATACAGGTAATCAGAAGATTAGTAGAAGATATGTTGCTCTATTGCTTCAATGATACTTGATACTTGAATGGCCCATCCTCACTGATTGGGCGGGCTCCAGCGTTATCTCGATTTTTCGGAGATTTACTGGTTAAGCCATTATCGTTCTCTGGAGTCCCGAGGTCAGTCTTGCCAAAGTCTGCTCCGGCTCTTCACCACAACAGGCAGTCGCGACCCTTGTGTATCAGACGGAGATTTGCCACCATGCGACTAATTTGATACTAGGGCGGTGGTGGATCCTGGTATTGGCTTACTCTTAACTAGGCTTCCTAATGAAAACGCCGGACTCCTTCTCAGGTTGGGAGACCTGTCAGTGGATGAATCCCCCGCTGTACATCGCAGTCCGACACCCAGGAACACCTCTCAGCCACGATGGGGCGGTAAACCGTTAGGAGGTGCTTTCATGATATGTTTAGCTTTTTTGTCAATTTTCAGTTCTAAACATCTTTAGAGTTAAATTAAAAGAGTTAAAGAGCTATCCAATAAATTGCTTTCATGTTCAAATTACCAGTAGTGAAAAAATGCATCTTGTCGACTTCAGAAAATCAGAACTTCACCAAAGCAAGGAAGCTTGCATCTTCAAAAAGTGGTAAT